GTAAAAGTGTAAAAAATTATCCTAAATTGATAAATATGTAGGTGAAAATATTAACTTTCATCTCGTAGAAAAAATAGCGTACCCAATTCGTGCGGAAAAGTGGCACTTTACGCACTATTTAGGAAATATACTATTTTTTATACGTGACGTTATTCTGAGGGAAGACCACACTACGGACTAAGGTTAAGTCCTACAACGGTCATCTGCTTGCAATTTATGTTATTATACAGGGCTTTCATTTCAAAACTTGCCACCGAGGTTATCTGCGTAAAGAAGCATATGTGTGGAAATCGCCGAAACACGTCAACAAATTTATTGGGGGGGAAGGTTTTTTACGTGAAACTGGACTTCCTTCCTTCAACCCGCTAACTCCCAAACTACCACCCCAAAACTTTCAAATGAGACAGGGGGTCGAGTAATAGATCATTTTAAAGGGCTGTTTAATCTGTACATTTTGCCGTCCTATTTTCTGAATTTGACCTCACTGTTGTGGAATAACACTCATTTCAATATTCAAAAATGCCCATTTATCCTTGATCACACCTACTTGTTTACCTGTTGCTGTAATAAAATGTAGGTGAAGAAGCAGGTGTGTTTAAAGAAAAATTGGCATTTTTGAACTGAGGTCAAATTCAAAAAAAAAGGATGACAAAATGTACAGATAGAACAGCCCTTTGAAATGGTCTATCACTCGACCCCCTGTCTCATTTGAAAATTTTTGGGTGGTAGCCCTGGGGGTTAGAGGGTTGAAGAAAGGAAGTCCAGTTTCACGTGAAAAGCCTTCCCCCCAATAAATTTGATTTCCACGAATATGCCTATTTACGCAGATAACGTGGGTGGCAAGTTTTGAAATGAAAGCCCTGTATATCATTATCTACATATCTAAAAGCCCTGAGGGCTACGAAGTTGGTTTAAATAAAGATGGTATTTCTTCGTGAAAAATATAATTGAATTGGTAATAGAATTATGGGTAATGAACCGCATAACGTAACTTAGCTCACCTCCAATAAGTATCGTTCTACATAAAATAGATTATTTTGTAAAATGTGTGATTCGGTTTTTTAGAACAGATAACTTGTATTATCATCTTAAGACTTTACTGGACACGCTGGAACTTTGGAAGAAGAAAAAACGATCAGTAACTAATGGATATGGTGTTAAGTTGGATAGTTATTCGAATTTTGAAAATGAGTCTAGTACTGCGGCTAGTCCCGATATGGAAATACAGGGTATACCATTTAAAACGAAACAGGCTAAATATCTGATGTCACTTATTTTTAAAAAAATCCCTCCTAAACGTAATTTGATTGTATGAGTTTCAAAATATTTTCAGCACTAACTCAACCCAACCCTTACTTACCATTCCAAATGGAACAGGGGGTCGAGTGATACCTGTTATAGAAGACCGTTCAATTTTCTTTAAAATGACATAAATGAAAGAGAATTGAACCTTCTTTTAAAATAGATATCACTCGACCCCTTCTTCCATTTGAAATAGTGAGAGTTGGTCCCACCTTGCCTAGAGGGGTAAAGTTGAAGTGCTAAAAATGGTTGCAGAAAACTTCCCCCTTTGAAAATTAAATTACGTGTACGAGCGATTTTTTCAAAAATATACCTGCCATTAGAAATTTAGCCTGATTCGTTTTAAATGGTAGACCATGATACATTATCGGCCACTCGGTGCCTAGAGTAGTTTAGGTACCGTAATTGGGTGATATTTTATACAATGGCTCCCTCTAAGATACAATGAATATTACCTACGTGAAATCATTCGAAACTTTGATCGCAACTTCAGACCTAATTGCCGCTTTCCGGAGAAGTGAGATTGAAATCAAAAGATCCCAGATATTTTCCTTTAATAGTCCCAACTTACTACAAGGATCCAAGAGATTTGGAAATTATATGCATAAAGGAATAGAAGGGGCATTGGATTTGGAAAAACAAAAGTTTTAAGAGATCTCAATGATGAACCTTTATTCATGTCTGTCCCAGACTGTGATACGAGATATACAGATACGGACATATACAATTGGTTTTATCTCGCTGCAAGATATATTTCAAGAACTTTCTTAATATTTTTTGCTGAAATGTGAAATTTTCTTCCAGTTGTCCCATCGAGTGGATACATGTAAAATGGGGTGATAAAAGCTCTGTGGTTGCTTTTAGATTTGAAGTACATACATGGAATAGCAAGTTTAAGGGTGGCAGATGCAAGCGTTGTTCCTATGTCAGTTTTCCGAATAGAAACGCGGCAGTAGTAATGGTAGCAGAAGCTGCTATTTTTATAAGTAAATAATTACCAGAATTCAGCTATTGTTTTGAGTTCAATTTTCTCTCACAAATACTTCAGTCATTTTAATTGAATCCCTTCGACCTTTGATTATGAAAACCCACGTCGCATTATTAGTCTTTATTATTAACGAAAATATTTGGTGTATCTTTTTCCGTAGAATTGAAAAATACTACTTGGAGTTCAATTGAATCTCAAACAAAAGAGCTACGACGTACATGTTGGTTATTTTGAATGGGATACCCTATTTTATTGTTTATATTATCACAATACTTAGTTGTTTAAATTCGTTTTCAATTTGTAAAATTTATTATTCAGATCCCTTGATTTAGGTATATAATTTTATTAGGTACTCTTCTAATCCTTTGTGCTTGACATTGCTTTAAAATACTATTGTTGGTATAATTCTTAGAATTTTTGAACGCCAATCAGCTATTTTATCAAAAAGCGTCTTATCAGCATTTATAAGTGCTCAAATCAGTTTTATGGTCTGTTCTTTTCCTGGTCCCACAAGAATTATTCATTTTAAAAAGCTAAAAATATGTTTTCAGTGAAACTAAAACAGTAATTATTATTCTTTAACTATGCAAAAATAAACTTGCGATAATCCACCTTGAGACAACTACTAAATTTAAATTATATTCTTGACAATAAAAACGATAGCATTAAGGCACTCTGACTAAATGAAAATTCTTTGCATAATTCAGCTTTACATTTCAATTAAAGTTGTATCATTTTCTCTTGGGCTTTTGAAACCGTTAAAGTTTTACTTAAGTAAGGCCCCTATCTCAAATTGTCTTAACTATTTTGAACTTCTTAGCTTGAGGAACTCTTTATTAGATACCTAGTTTTGACGCAAACTCTCGAATTAAAAAAGTTGGCGAATCTACGGAAGTAAATTTTGATAAAATATTTTGTAAATTAGTAATTTCACTTCAAAGCAAAATGTAACCGCCACTAGATGCTTTGCACGTAGCCTCTAAAAATGTTTAACTTTTGCTGTGCTCCTTTTAAGCTGTATTTTCCTATCAACGCGGGACTTATAAACTTTCGGCTTTGCTTTTATTTAGAGCACATATTTTTCCTAGATCAGAGTTAATTTGCGCTGAACACACCCTTTACAGTAATAATTTGAAGCACGCCCGCTGATTTACTGTAATTTTCTCAACGGGGCATTATTTTCCTTTTTAAAGTGGAATTATTACGTCTTTCCCAGGCTAAAGTCGGATATAAATTCAACCACCTAGAATTGTATAGGTAGGTTTATAGTTACGTCACGTTCGTACTTTTCTAGAAAATAAAGTCATTAAAAGAATGAAGTTTTATATAGCTATAACAGTAAAAAAAACATAGTAAAATTCCGTTCTATAAGTAGAATAGCCTAGGAAAATTAAGCTGAAAATTGATGATCAGCCGAATTATTTCGTGTAGTTTATAAATTTGGTATAGTTATTCAATGGGGTGTCCTAATAACCATACTAAAAGTCCCCGTGGGTGGGGGTTGAGCCGGCGGTAGGGGACGGAATGAAACTATTTTTTTATTTTTCTGTTTATATCACAACCTTTAAAAATATTGTCACACGCCTCGCGGCTAATGTGGGCAGGATCTCAGCATAGGGGGTTGCTCTTCAGGAAAACACAGACACAAAAGGCACTTATCGTATATTGTTTGCTAGTGGGTACATCACCAAAAGGGCACTACGTAGGTGTGCCACATTTCCCAGAACAGTCACTTTTGCAGCGGCAAAAAATAGAATTCAACACGATGTCAGGTGCGAGATGATCCAAGGTTCTGATTGGCTCCAGGCTTCCATCACCTCCTCGCTTCCATCCCCACATTTCAGGAGGCAGTTGGTTCCCCAGCCACTCTTTTACTTGGTGGAAGACTCTAAATCAGTGATATTTTGCTGATCGTTTGGTCGATGGCAGCGGAGAAACTGGAAAGATTCAGTTTAGGCTTGGTGCTGGATTTTCAAAAAACTGAGTATCGATGGCTGTTTAGATCAGTCTGATTAGAAGGGGCATGGTATATTGTCAAAAACATCTTGTCTCCTGCTTTTACTTTCGCTTTTTGAGTTGACGTTGAGTCCTAGAAGATGGCTGCTATATCCTTTGTTAATCCTTTTTGTTCAAAAAGCTTAACAAACAATGCTTTGCTTTTTCTAAAAATGGCTAAAGTTGAATCGCAACCGCTGAAACTGTGAAGGAAAAGAATGTAACAAGAAAATGAAAGTTTTTAGAGTTCTTGGGGAGAAAATATTCTAGTTTCTATTTTCTCTCTCCTTAGCTTGACAAAAAATATATCCTTTGCTGATTGTGCCAGAGCCATTAAAAGGACTATAAGATCAACATATTCTCCAACAACAGCAATTACAAAATCGTTTTTACAGTACAGTCAGCATCACTTACTGTCACTCTTGTTTCAATTTCCCCAGTCAGAATTTTTTTCTGTAAGTAGTTTAATAAGTTAGCACTTATTTTTTGCATTTGACAGAAAATGCTCTAGTTAAACAGTAACCTTCATAACCAGATCAAAATTTATATCAATAGATGATTTGGCTGTTCCTCTTCGTTTTTATTCCGATGTGTTCGTACTATTACTTGTACCATTATAGCCATCAAACACGACAGTAGAATGTGGTCCATAGTGAGATTTTATATATTTAATGTATTGATCACATATTATCTCGGAATAAGACGATCCCAGTTGTCACTTAGTACGGTGCAGGAGAGACTCACCATCTATGACCATGATACTATTTTTAAAATCTATAGTAATATCGGTATTTAGTAGAACATCATATAAAGCTGCTTTTTCAGTTTTCCTCGTACAGCGTTCACCGAATAAAGCTAACGGGTATGGAGCTAATTCATACTTCAAATGTTCATCGTCCTTTTTCTCAATCGCAATCCTTTGGAAAAATAACAATGGATCGACATCTATATTCTCGTCATTGACCTTGATAGCATTGCTCATCGCTCCGAATGATAAAACTTTGTTCTTACGATGTAGTTTTATATCTGCAAAGTTATTTCCCACGGTTCTACTCATTAGCTGTTCACCAACTTCTTCTGCGAGGTGACAATTTATGTCAGAACTTTCCACAATGCCTGTTGATAAGGACATGAGTTTTCCAGTCTTTGAAAAATTATAATTATCTGTGCACCAAACGGAAAGCTTTCTCCTATCCTGTTGATGCCTACGTTGATGAGACAAGAGTAGATCTACGTGTTGATCTCATGACACAAAATATACCCCATCAAATTTTTCGAGTGAGGAACATATAGAATTATTGCTTGTCACCGTCGCTTGTAACCATTTAGCTAGCGTCAAATTGGTAATTCGTCTTGCTCGAGTCATTCCTGCAGAGCTCTTCATGCTGCGCATCAATGTTTGCTCTATGGTCATGTTAGACCGAACGCCACTCCAAAAGGAATTGCCTCTCCTAATAGTAAAGTATTCTTGCTAGGCAAATAACTCAAATTCATTTGGCTCCATTCTTGTTTCAAGCTAGATCATATCCTCTAGATCAGTGGTTCCCAAACTTTTTTCTTTTGCGCCCCCTTTCTGAAATTAAGAAGTGGTCGCACCCCCTTCCTGCCCTCATTATACAAAAAAATTTTTTTTTTACTTACTGTAACTCGTCTGAACTGGACTTTGGAAGAGGAGGAATGGGCATGACAGTGGGCAGCGAGCGTGCGCTGTAGCAATGATTGCATGGCAAAGCTGCTTTGGCTTAGGTATGCACTGTTGCTGGATTGTAGACATCTTTTTTTAAATTTTAACTGATTTTTTATTTTAAAGTTTAAAATTTTTATTAATTTTAGACTTACGACGCCTCCCTTAATGTTGCTTCACGCCCCCCTAGGGGGACGCGCCCCACTGTTCTGGATACAGATGAGCACATCGCGCGTACTAAAAGTGACCACTAGCATGAAAAAATTGAATCATTCTCTGAACACAGCTAAGGTGAGCCTCCCAGTCACCAGCACATATCTTTCTGCAGCAATGAATTGTTTCATAATTGTGACCATGTGATAGTAATAGACCCAGAGTGCAGTAGTAGGCCCATTTTCTTTTGAAATGTTTAATTCATTTTTCATTTTGTTTTGCAGTGAAGTCAAATGCTTATTGTTGTTTAATGTTTCTGAACTTAGTGGTTTAGTTAGCATATCTTTTAAAATGATATTTACAGTTGTCTGCTCGTCATCACTTGTATCAGTATTATTTATTATTATCAATAATGAAGTAGTGTGTACTAACAAGTGCGCGCGAGCTGCTCGAGCATAAGCATGACCATTTAACATTTGATCAACTGGATTGGGAGCAAAAATATTGCATAGCAAATCCCGCAGGCCACTTCCTGCCATTATTTGTCCAATGCAACCAAGATAAGACATTAAAGAGTGAAACCCACCAAGTCTAACAACTATACTTTTGAGCTTCGGATCATCTTGTCTAGATGCAAAAATGTCTCGGGCTTTGATATAAAGGGGAAGATCAAATGTAACGAAACATGTTTTGATCTGACATCAACCTGCAGCATATTTTAAAGTTGTATACATTGTGTTTTAATCACTTGGAGGTGATGTGACGAAAGGGAGAGGTTTAACTGCACTTTTATCAAATTTGTGGTTTGGTTGAATACACCGCCTGAAACCTTTCCACTCGGAAATATTTGGTACCTCAAGCCACTTCCCATAGATCCATAGCATATCACACAGACTTAGTAGAAGAGACTCTTGGTATAGATGATGTTGTTGATTCACGTCTATCATAAATTGCTTTAATCCTCTTTTAGCAAGTTTGCTAAACGTTTGTAGTTGTAGGACTCCTGACGTTCCAGTTTGTGTAGAGGTAGGAGCTTTTGATCATTTCTCAATATCCTTTTCAACTGGTACAAATCCCGCAATGTGTAATGCATAAAATACCCCCCATGCTGTGAAATGTGTTCAAGCCGTCCAAAGTGGCCACATTAAAGTAGCCATTATCAAAAATAAACTGAGTAAAAGTATCTGTAGGTGAAGGTTGAGGGTGATATATTGCAAACAACTCAAGCATAGTAGCATCGTAGTAAGTTCCACTTAACTCAAAATTAGCTAAAAGATCTATTTAAGCTTTTCGCACCCAACTTTCTGTGGATGAAAAATGCAATTCCTTGGAGCACTGAAGAAATGAAGCTTCTCGGCCGAATAATACTAATAATAGAATGAATGAAATTATTTTTCTTTTGGTTTTCTTATTATCGCCCGTCTTTTGAGAAAGGAGAGAATCCAGAAAGGCCTTCAGTGATTCGGGTATCACGCTCTGTGCGTCATTAAGGAACGTATAACTGGGAGCGTAGTAACTGGTATCGTAGACTTGAGATTGAATATCTTGTTTAATTATCATCGCTGCCGCCTGAACGATCCGCAGGCGTTCTTCTTCGTTTGGATCTTCACATTGTGGACGACCACTACTTTTTTCTGTGTTCATGTGTCAATAAAAAACGCTTCTCCGAAAATAGCTATTTACCTACCAAGTGCGGAAAATGAATTTTTCCGCACGCCGCTGCCGTTCACCGAACGACGCATAGCGGAGTTCGGTGAAGCAGCCGAGTGCGGAAAAATATTTTCCGCAATAAATAATACCTAGGCAGTTATAAATATCAAAAACCTGCTAAATGAATTCAAGGGGACACGGTTTCCGGAAGAGCTTACCTTTAAAGTTCAAAATAGGTAAAGATAAAACTTAAAATTGACTACCTAAAGATTTTACATTGGTTTACCTTGTAAAACTACCACATTATTGATTTGAGATTAAAAGTTAAATTAACCTTTTAAAGGTTAACGAATCCACAATATATATATCGATCAGTACTCGATATTACGGAAATAAAATTTATAATAATTATAATAATGCATACTTATTGGATAATAAATAATGATAGAGAAAACGATAATAAAAGCCAATATCTGACTCTGATAATAATTAATTAATTAACTCAATAACTATTTAAATAGTAGTTAGCTATTCTAGCTAAACAGTACTAAACGGTAAACAAATTAAGTCGGTAATTGAATTTACATAGATATTAATTAGCTAATAAAGCAAAACGATAGGGGGCGATAAAGAAAAGGTAAAAATAAGTTACGGTAATTAAGATGGCACGTTTAAGACACCCATAGGTATGTAATTATACAAGTCTGGACGGAAACCTTGTGAAGCTTCGGAAGTTTTCACAAATTTCAGATCTGGAGGTACCAAACTGGCTGGTGACAACCAGGGGGGGGGGGATCAACTTCTTACAGGACACCAACCTTCCTTGAAAAGGGGGCCCAGATTTGCTCTGAGATTCAGGACAGCGTGGTCTCAAATTTGCCAATTTTCACTTGGAGAAGTGCTTTCACGGATTTTTCGTCCTACCGAAGGTGCCTGAATATAAGGACTCATTCATCAGAGAGAAAAAGGAATTTACATACCTGAATGGCCGATAGTAACCTCACTTTCCAAAATCTTCACAAAAATCAACAATCTGTTATTTTCCAGGAAACTTTCTAGTAGACACGATCAAGCACTCTTCTGGCTAGTTAATTTTCAAGAATATGGACTCGATGGCCAAAAACAAAGATAAAGTTTCAAGATTTTTAAAATTCTAAAAATCTGAACGACCTGTTTCGGTCCCAAGACAAAAGAGAGAAGAGCAAGTCAAAAGTACCCAAATTGGTTCTGTCTTTTCTTTCTTTGTCTGTCAAGCTTGTCAAAATAATAAAAATGACAGCGCTACAGGTTTCTCGGAAATAACAGAATTCTCGATATTAGGTTAGGAAAACTAGTTAGAAGAATCATAGATGTCGCTAGGTGTAAGAAATAGTACTTTTACATGAGTCCAAAATATGTAAAAATAATTAAAAACAATAATAGTTTATTGTTGTATTAGGAGTAGAAGCTTTAGTTTTTTGTGCTGAAGCAGTAGGTTAGCGAGCCGAACGTAGCACAAAAAAGTGCTTCTACTCCGTATACAACACGCTATTTTTTCTCCAAACGAATGTGGTAAGCTCGGGGGTAAGTGAATGGTTGAGCGGCAGTAAAAGTACGAGCGGCACTAAAAGTACTTTTACTGCCGCTCCAACGGCACCAAAAGTACTTTTGCTGCCTTTGGGGTTGCCAAGCAGCATAGAAATTAAATTTCTACCACCTCGACAGGTGTTGACCTCCTGGATTTGCCTAGCAGCATAGGGATTGAATTTCTACCATCTTGACAGGTGTTGACAAAGTGAAGTTTTTTTGACGTTTGGAGAAAAATATATTTTTGTGACATTTCAAATGTTACAGGTGTCGATTGTCTGAGATCAGCGATAATTGAACAACTTCGTGTGTATCTATTTCTACAAGTGGCATGAACAACAACACTTTCAACGCCACTGAGCAGGATGTGTTTTCCATCTTTTCTATTTTTACTAGCTCTTATCAACCCCTGAATACCTTTTTCTAACAACTTACAGTGGTCACTAGTCATGTCCTTATTACAAATTGCACATTTGCACATGATAGCATTTAAAATCAACATAACCTTACTTTGAATTAGACACGTAAGCACGTTTTTACACAAAAGCAGCCTGAATAGACAAGCGTAGCGATCATAGTAGCCCGCGCTTGCGTAGAAATTGGCAGCGCACTCCCCCCTTCCCGAATGGAAGGATGTATGTACAACCAGTGTTGCCGCGGTTAGAACATTTTGTACTATTTCTATAACATTTTCGACAGCAAAGTAGGTACAATAATTTTTAGGCGGCAAGCAAAAAATTGGAAAAGGGAACCTTTCACCCCCTATAATTTCGTTAGTTGGGTTATTTTTATAAGTTGTAACAGTGCCGGTTTTAAAATTTTATCGCAAAATAATTTATCTGCAAATTTTAAAACTGTATCTTGAGCCAATCATGATGACAACCTGAAAAATATCCGTGAACTTTTCTCACTAGAATTTTTTTCAATGGGTGGTACTTTTAATTCACGTCTGTCAGGTGTAAAAATAGTGAAAATTTTGGTTCAAAATTTTCTTACCGAATAACAGACGTGCCCAAATTATTAACCGGAAGTTTTTCCTTCTTCACGAATATTGAAAGAAAATTATTTCTCGTCTTCGA